TAAAAACCTCTGCAAATTGAATTCGCGGCACAGTTCCTTATCTCCTGAAAGGAAGATGTAACAGCATCATCTTGTGTTTTAGCCAGACATTTTTCCTCAACACTTCTCCATTTCTACACTGAGGGAAAAACAAATGCTGAGTCTTTTTTTTTTTTTTTTCCCTTTTCCTTCTGTTTGAGACATTAAGAACCCTTCACACAAAACAGCTCAAGTGCAGAGGAATTAATTGGGGAAATTAGGTTGTGTTGTATTTCTGGCATTTTCTCAGAAATGGTAATTGCCTTAATTCTCCACCCTGCCAAGACCTCCACCCACACCCTGTTTCCCCCCTCCCCTTTTCCTCACTGTCTACCTGTATTTCTCCTGCTTGAGTTGCTGTTTTCATGCTGTTGCCATTTATTTCATTTCAGTAATGAGAGGGATGTGGCAGGTGAAGAGCTCTCACAATCTGGTGACATCTTCTTTGAAGCACAGGCACAAAAGAGCAGTTTGTTTTTGGGAAATAAAAACTCCCTGCTATGGTACTTGACCTCCATGCTCACCTCTTCTTCTGCTCTGGATATGTTGCTGCTGCATTGTGAGTCATTTGGCTCAGATTTTTTGTTTAATATAGTCTCGATATTCACCCAAACACTGACCTCCACGCTTAACCCCTCTATGTTCCCCCCAAACCACCCAAACCCTCACACTCTTACTGAGAGCTAATCAAGCCTACGATCTTTCAGACAAAGCTCAGCCCCATTCCCAGACACTTGAATTGAGGCTTTTGATGTCTCCCAGTCATTGGACTGAGCTCCAGAGAGCTGGGAGTTCAAAGCCTTTCAGTTTAGCTTCCTGATGGTTTTTAACTCCTGACCTTCCATTTGTGGAGGTCATAGATGTAGCCAAATAAGAAGGAATTGTTTGTTTAGTATTTCCTGATCTAAAACACCTGGTGATGTTCATGGCAGGTTCAGATCCAATGGAGATACTACAGTGGGTAGTGAAATGGTGAGACTTCTTGTCTCAGAAGATGGTAGGTGCCAACAGCTGAGATGGGTTGAAAAAGAGACTGAATAGAATTGTGGAAGAGAGGCTAGCAAACAAAATACTTCCCCTGTTTCAGGAAATCCCTGTGCCAGTGGCTTTATTGAAGACTGGAAGACTATTATGGGACATATGCTGTGGGCTCTTCTATTTCCATACTCTCCCCTATGCATCTCTGACTGAGGTCAGGGTCCCAACTGACTGTTCTTAAAAGTTGCCTGGGCTGATCTCTGCGTTCCTGGGAGATCGAGAGAGTACTGGGAGTAACCAGTCAAATGCTGGACCCAGCTGAGGTCAGTGACACCTTCCTCAGGAATTCAGATACTGAGTTGGGTTCAGAAAGCTGGGATTGCTTCTCAATGTAGCCAAACTACCCACGCCTCTTCACCTCCACTGTGAAAACTTGAGACAGTAAAGTTTCCGTCAGGGATTTCCGTAGCCCTTTCCTTCAAAACAATTTCCTTCCCATAAAACTTAACTAGGGCTCTCTTTCGTTTTCAGTTTTTCCTGGGTGCAGCCAACAGATCCAGAAAGGGTCATCTCCACCCAACCTTGAGTAGTTTTTTCCCCCCTTGACTGTGAAACTGTTTTTTTCCCCGTTGTAATTTGTGTTGTCCAAGTGTGGTTCCCAACCACCTGCTAGGGGCTGCCTGCATGCAATGTGCTCCCTTCCTCGCGCTGTCCCCACTCTGAACATCCCATGAGCCTGAAAGCTGTGAGATACATGGAAAAGAGTACAGTGCCTAGTTTTGAGCCAGAGAGACTCTCTCATAATGGAGATCTATCCAAAACGTGTTCTTCTGTGATGTCACCAGAAACAAGGAAGGATTTTGTACAGGGAAAGCCAGAGAAGCTGATGGTTCCTGGGTTTTACGAAGGTGGCCTGATTTGATTTAAACTGTAGCTAGAGCAGAAGAAGGTAGAGAAACATGTGCCAGCAAGCTTCATTATTCTAGCCCCAGCTGGACCAGAAACAGGGTGTGAGCTCCTCAGCATATGGAAATGAACCATTCATGCTTTGGAAGGAGCACTGCCACTTACAATCGAAGGAGACTTGGCTGTGTAACACCCTCCTTTGCCACCTTATCTAGGTTATTGGACTCATTTCCCCACTGCATCCCAGCTGGTCAGTGGCCTCCTCCTGACTTCCCACCTGCAGAACCATGATCTCAACTCTCCTTTACCATGGGGACAGCCATGAGATCACACATCAGTAGG